TCCCAGTTCACCAACAATAGACAACTACAATCAAATGCAACACCCTTACAACTTTTCCTCCTCCTCCATGTAATTGATTAGTATAATTTTTTATACTTCTCTTTAAACTTATGCAAAACAGTTTTGTCTTTTGTTTATGTTAACATTTAGGTACCTTTATGTGGATGTTTATTTCCCTCTGGATTTAATGTTGGAGCACTGATGATAGGGGTGGATTGTTGGCAGGTGTGATTTGCTGGGGTATTTAAAGGAAGCCAGGTGGAGGCTTGGAGAGTTTTGTTTTTGTTATTTGGTGATCTGTAAAAGGAAAGAGGTGAAATAAATGCAGGAGAAGCATTTTGGCTCTCTGGAAAAATGTCCATGTGCTGCAGTTTGCCTCTACTTCTTTCAACTTGAAGACCTTCTGGCTGCTCTACATTCTCACAATGGTGAATTGTGACTGAAGGGCAGCATGAGCCATTAGAGCTAGCGGCTAGCTCCCCAGAGCCATGATTTGTAATCGTAGGATGTCCTAGGAAGGTCCCGCCTTTGTCTTCTCTGAGTGGCTACAATAGCTCTCCTATGATTGGCTATTTCATTCAGCAGCAAACCGTCTTCCCTAAGTGCAGACTGTACTGATGTACCTTACTAATGATTTCCTTTCCTATCCGATACCAAGTAAATGAGGTCCAGTGTCGGCAATACAAATGGTCTTTGTCAGGTGACCAGTCAGGTGCTGCAGCGTGTTGGATGATCGGATGGGATTGCATGTGTATAAACAAAGGAAGCACCTGTCTCTTTGTGTTGTTGTGGGCTTATTAAACTGCAGAAAATGGTACACCACGGTTGGTGGTGAGCTGCCATGCTATCTCCAGAAGAAGGCAGAAAAGTTAAATGTGGCAGGGATTGAGTTAACCGGATATGTTCCATTTTTGACCATTTATTTAGATGGAGAAATTTCCAGGCTGTTGGACATTCTGACAGACTGGAATTACCCCGTTGCATACAGGTGTGCAGACATTATAAACGTTACGCACGAGAACATCACAGAGGTAACCAACGGATTCCCGTCAGAACCTCTGAGCATTATCTCTATCGAACAAGGATTGGGACAATATTACATGTAACTTGTACCTAGTTTTATAACCTGTAACACGTACTGTAACTGTAACTTTCATTTTGTAGCATGTCATTCTCGTTTTGTATCACGTAATATTTGGTACGTAACATGAAACTTTCATTTTATAATTTGCAGAAAACAATCAAATCACAACTCTCAACACACACACATCTCTGTCTACAGTTACAAAACTTGAGTCTACAAGTACAAAACATTTTGTCCCAATTCTAGCTTCTTTCCCAAAGACCCAATGACAGGCTATGTCTGACCATCTTAGGTGTGTTCTTGCTGTGTCTTTCTAAATCCATTCTTTCGTTCTTTTTTAAACACAGAAACAGTTTTGTTTACCTGTTTGTAGCTACAGTTTCGCCGACAGCTGCCGGCTTCTTCAGGCTGACGCTGATGGTGGCGCGTCACTTCCTTCTCCGTTTATCAGCTGGACAAAAATGTGGAGTCATCTACGAAATCCCATGCAAAATATGCAATAAAACATACATAGGAGAAACCGGACGCCAACTCAATACACGGACAATAGAACACAGAAAGGAGTGCGAGAAAGAGGCAAATCGTAAACACACAAGAGCAGCAAAAGAAGAAGCAGAAAGTAAAATAAAAAAGTCGGCCGTAACAGATCATTGCTTAAGAGAAAACCATATAATGGACTGGGACAACACACGGATCATAACCACCGAACAACAAAAATACAAAAGATGGATCAAGGAAGCTATCGAGATAAGGAGACGTGGATGTGGGACCATGAACAGGGACGACGGAGTTTACACGCTGGACCACGCATGGGACTGCATCGTCGGAGAGGGGAGAGCGGGCAGTAGAGGGCGACAACGTCCTCTGCTGCCCGCAGATAAACGGAGAAGGAAGTGACGCGCCACCATCAGCGTCAGCCTGAAGAAGCCGGCAGCCGTCGGCGAAACTGTAGCTACAAACAGGTAAACAAAACTGTTTCTGTGTTTAAAAAAGAACGAAAGCATGGATATGTCTGACCAGCCAATCACGAGCCTTGGATTCCTGTCAAAGACAATTCCTGTTGGAAACAAGCAAGACTTGGGACAAAATGTTTTGTAACTGTAGACTGAGATTTGTGTTTTGAAAGTTGTGAATTGATTTTTTTCCTGCAAGTTACAAATAGAAGTTTCATGTTACTGAAGTTACATGTAACAAAATGAGCATTACATGCTATAAAAAGTAAAGTTACCTGTTACAAAACGAAAGTTATATGTTAATAAACAAAAGTTACATGTTGCAAACAAAAAACAAAAGTATTTGTGGACAAAAATTTTCTGAATCGACCAAAACTGACTAAGAATAAAATACAATTTTGTCATAAAGACGAAGACTAAAACTGGGATGCCTGCCGATTACCATGGACGTAGAGAATATGAGCGGACATTAACATTAAAAGGTTATTCCATGTTTTCTGAGTCCGTTCAGATTTCACCAACCTAAAGCAATATTACTGTAGTGTTTTGTTGCAGAGTGTAGCAACGCTGAGTAAACACCAGGCTAAACCTTTGTCAAATAATAACAGGAGTCAGTGTAGAGTTGACCTTTTACACTTAGAACCTTCATTTGACAAGCGGTGAAAACTGTAATTGAAAAGAAATACAGAATAGAATAAACGATCATGTTTACATAAATATTGCCTCACAAACTAATTCAAAATACGACTTTACGTAATTGTATTAACCTGAGCAAAGAAAATGACCATCAAATACCTCTTTTAACATGTACAAATCAATCATTGTGAACTACAAATAAAATTGTTTTTTAACAACTACAGCCATCTATGCTTTTTTTAACATCTTTATCATGAAGTTTAAACACTTATGGCGTTGCCTGAACAGTATTCCCAAGTGGATGGCTGTGGATAAGCCTCAGAGCATGACCGCATGCCACTCCCTCTCAGAGCAGCCAGGAAGAGGAAGTAAAGAGGAAATTAACCAGTACAGGTGACCCAACAGTAAGTGAAGCTATTAGAAAGTTCACCTTGAAAAATAAAATCTTCCCATTTAACATTTTAAACCTATTCACTGTTCTTTATGACTTAAATACATATAAATGAATAACTTAAAATGAAACATAAAATATATCCATCCATCCATCCATTTTCATCCGCTTAACCGGAGTTGGGTCGCGGAGGCAGTAGCCTAAGGCGAGAGGTCCAGACTTCCCTCTCCCCAGCCACTTGGGCCAGCTCCTCCGGGGGAATGTCAAGGTGTTCCCTGGCCAGGTGAGACCGGGGTCTACCTTTAGGTCTCCTCCCGGTTGGACGTGCCCAGAAAACCTCACCAGGGAGGCGTCCAGGAGGCATCCTGACCAGATGCCCGAGCCACCTCAAAAATATAAATGACATAAATGCCTTTTGAGGCATCACAATTACAACTGTTATCCAATCACATCACATGTTTCTGTGTTTCCCACAGTTGTCCTAAATATGGCACTGGTTAAAGAAGATCCTGAAGAACAGAGTGCTGATGTGGACCAGCAGAACCCAGAGCACCTCCACATAAAGGAGGAAGAGGAGGAACTCTGCACCAGTCTGGAGAGAGAGCAGCTCCATTTGGAACAGGAGTCTGTCACCGTCAGGTTTCCATTCACTGCAGTTTCTATAAAGAGTGAGGATGATGCAGGGAAACCTGTGTTATCACAGCTTCATCATCAGCAAATAGAAGACAGAGATGTTCCAACCAGCAGCTCAGCTGACCAGAGGACAGCAGAAACAGGTGGAGAAGCAGAAAATAGCAGAAATTCAGATCTAAACCCTCATGAACAGACATCTGACTCTGAGCTGTCAGACTTCTGGCCTGAAACTGGAGAAAGAGTCAATGACTCAGTCTTTAGCTGCCCAGAGTGTGGTAAACAATTTGTCCAAAAGTGGTCTCTCAAGATACATTTGAGGGTGATGGGTCATTCAGAAATTAGTTCTTCAGACGGTTTGGTAAATAAGAAATGTGAAGGAGGGGAGCAGCCTGCAGATTCACGCAGGAAACGAAAAATATACATTTGTGATTACTGTGGAAAACGATTTGTTTGTAAATCATATTTAGAAAGTCATGAGACCGTCCACACAGGACTGAAACGTTTTGTTTGTGAGATCTGTGGGAAAAGAGTTACAAAAAAGACAAGTTTAAACCAACACATGAGATCCCACTCAGGACAGAAACCTTTTGCTTGTGAGCTCTGTGGACAAAGATTTGGTGAGAAGGCATATTTAACCCGTCACATGAACGTCCACACAGAACATAAGCCTTTTGCTTGTGGGCACTGTGGAATAAGATTTAGCAGAAAGGAATATTTAACCCGTCACATGAGTGTCCACACAGGACATAAGCCTTTTGTTTGTGGCCACTGTGGAAAAAGGTTTTACAAAAAAGCCCACTTAAAGACTCACGTCAGCATCCACACAGGACAGAAGCCTTTTGCTTGTGAGCTTTGTGGAAAGAGATTTTGTCAGAAGTCCAATTTAAACAAACACATGAGAGTCTCCATAAAACACAAAAAAATTAAGTTAACAAGAGTATCTAAAGGACCCTTGTAGTCTTTACATCCAAGATGTCAGTTTTGTACTCCTGGTGGCAGTCCTCTACCCTAGATCAGAGCTACATTAGGCCCATAAGCCACCTCTTTCTGGCCAGAGAGCCACATATTTCAAACTATGTCCAATGCTAAGCCGGGCAGATGCAGAGAGCGCTTTTGTCTCTTCCTGAATGGACTACAATGCGATCCACATTTTGTATTCCTAAAAAAAAGCATTCAGAGACTACATTACATCCAGAACCGCACTGCTAGGATCCCATTGAGGGTGTGCACATAAGTACATATCACCCCCATTCTGAAAGATCCTCATTGGCTCCCAGTTAAATTCAGAATTGCATGTTGGGGTCGTAACACTGAATTTGGGATTTTCTTTACTTGTCTTCAGTCTGCAACAACAAATACACCGCAAATCCCCAGAATCAATCTCCGCTGCATGGGAGATCGGGCCTTTTCAACCGCTGCTCCAAGGCTGTGGAACGGTCTACCCATCCACCTGAGGGCCCCACAAATTGGATGCTTTCAAATGGAATCTTTAAGCCTGGGCCACAGAAGCGCTGTGGTTTTGAGAAGTCAAATGGTCACACAGGAATCACTACACCACTTAACGCTTCTTGGAAAGTCGCCTGAAAGTCACGCAATAATCTCAGCATCACGCGGGACTTGAGAACAGGAAGCAGAAAGTGACTTGTTTGTTCATACGGGATCAGATTTGCCATCGTGTTTTGTGAGACTAATTCATTTAAAATGGGTAAGTATGCTATTTATTAGAACATAATTGTCGTCGCGGTGGCAAAAACCCAGGCGTGAGAGGGGTTCATTGAGACCATGAAGCAAGACTTCTGTTAGGCTTCGAGAAGATTGTGGTCCACCATCCGGCGCCTCAGGAGGGGAAAGCAGTGCGCTACCGACACTATTTATAATGGGGACGGTGTGCTGCTTACCTCTACTCGGGATGTTGTGGATCGGTGGGCAGAATACTTCGAAGACCTCCTCAATCCCGCCGACACGTCTTCCAGTGATGAAGCAGAGTCTGGGGACTTTGAGTTGGGCTCTCAAATCTCTGGTGCTAAGGTCACTGAGATGGTTAAAAAGCTCCTCTCGCAAGGCTCCAGGGGTGGATTAGATCCACCCGGATTTTCTTAAGGCTCTGGATGTTGTGGGGCTGTGTTGGCTGACGTGGCTCTGCAATATTGCGTGGACATCGGGGGCAGTCCCACTGGACTGGCAGACCAAGGTGGTGGTTCCTCTATTTAAAAGGGGGGACTACAGGGTGTGTTCCAACTATGGGGGGATCAGACTCCTGAGCCTCCCTGGTAAGGTCTATTCGGGGGTTCTGGAGAGAAGGGTACATCGAATCGTCGAACCACAGATTCAGGAGGAGCAATGTGGTTTTCATTCTGGCTGTGGAACACTGGACCAGCTCTACACCCTTAGGGGGGATCCTGGAGGGTGTGTGGGAATTTGCCCCACCAATCTACATGTGTTTTGTGGATTTGGAGAAGGCATTCAACTGTGTCACTCGGTGGGCCCTGTGGGGGTACTCTGGGAGTATGGGGAGGCCCTCTATACGGGCTGTTAGGTCCCTCTATGACCGGTGTCAGAGCTTGGTCCGCATCGCCAGCAGTAAGTCAGGCTTGTTCCCAGTGAGAGTTGGACTCCGCCATGACTGCCCTTTGTCACCGATTCTGCTCAGAATCTTTATGGACAGGATTTCTAGGCACAGCCAAGGTTTTGAAGGCATCTGTTTTGGTGGCCTGAGGATCAGGTCTCTGCTTTTTGGAGATGATGTGGTCCTTTTGGCTGGTGGCCTGAGGATCAGGTCTCTGCTTTTTGGAGATGATGTGGTCCTTTTGGCTTCAGCAGAACGTAATCTTCGGCTTTTGCTGGAGCGGTTTGCAGCTGAGTGTGAAGCATCTGGGATGAGAATCAGCTCCTCTTAACCTGAGACCATGGTCTTGATTCGGAAAATGGTAGAATGCCTTCTCCGGGTCAGGGATGAGGTCCTGCCCCAAGTGGAGGAGTTTAAGTATCTCAGGGTCTTGTTCACAAGTGAGGGAAAGCTGGAGCGTGAGATCGATAGGCGGATTGGTGCTGCATCTCCAGTGATGCGGGCGTTGTACCGGTCTGTCAAGGTGAAGAGAGAGCTCAGAAGGCGAAGCTTTAAATTCACCGGTCGATCTACGTTCCTACCCTCACCTATGGTCAGATAGGGTGAGAAGCTCAGTCATCCGGAAGGGGCTCGGAGTAGATTTGCTGCTCCTTCACATTGAGAGTAGTCAGTTGAGATGGCTCAGGCATCTGGTCATAATGCCTCCTAGACGCTTCCCTGGTGAGGTTTTCTGGGCACGTCCAACCAGGAGGAGGCCCAAAGGGAAACCCAGGACACGTTGGAGGGACTATGTCTCTCACCTGGCCAGGAAATGCCTTGGGATTCGCCCAGAAGAGCTGGCCCAAGTGGCTGGGTAGAGGGAAGTTTGGGCTTCTCGACTTAGGGTACTGCCCCCACGACCCGACTCCGGATAAGTGGATAAAGATGGATGGATGTATACTACAAACGGCTGTCAAACCGTACCATACCCCGGACTAAATGTTGAGTGCTACACATGCTCATACTTTTCATGCCCAAACTTTTTAGTTGCCCAAAATTGCTAAAATCCTTTTAAAACATTGGTCATAATTAATATTCTAATATTTTGAGATACTGAATGTTATGGCCACCAGACTGGCCTCTTCAGATGCAGGAGCCAGGATCGCCCAGCCCCGGTGATCAGCCAGACACTGCCTCTCCTCCAGGCTGCTGAGGAGCACAGCTGAGCTGAATCTTTCTGATGACCTAGACCTGGGATAAAGAGGCTGTGCCTTCAGCAGTCTGGGAGGCAGCGGTGCAGGGCTTCTGCTGTCCTCCAGGCACCAGACGTTGGTTTGAACCCCTTTGTTTTTGATGAGTTTTAGCAGGACGGTTAAAGCTCTGAGATGATCCTAAGGGAACTTTAGTTGATGTCAACTTAGTTGACTGAGTGATGAGTATTTTAAAGGTTAACTCTGTTCTGGTTTTAAGACTTTTATCGACATTGTGGATTTTAAAACACCTTCATTTTTGGTAAAACTTATAACGACGTTTTAACCAGGTGTTTTAATTGTTAAGTTTGTTTTTTGAGAGTTTTTTGTTTGACATTATTTTTATAATGCCCTCCATCTGTTTGCTTGCTCGCTTGTTTTTAGAAACTTTTTTTATGAAAGTTAAACCCACTATCATGTTTCTTATGTTACCCCCTCCTTCACATTTAACAACACATGTCGGGGTCGTAACACGGAATTTGGGATTTTCATTAAGTGTTTGAGTCATCAAAAATTAAAGAGGTAAATATTTCAGATACATCAGTCTGTGTTCAATGGATGCATCTAGTATACAAGTTTAACTTTCTGAATGAAATTACTAAAATAAATAAACTTTTTTCATTATATTCTAATTTTGTCACCAGCACCTATGCATGTCACTACTGGGTAAACAGAATTGCAACACAAACAGAGGCATACAAAAGTGTGTGTGTGTGTGTGTGTGTGTGTGCGCGCGCCGTGCAGCGATCGTTTCGGCGTCTGCTCAGTTTTTTTCGCGAGCCGCGGGTGAACCGCGTCAGTTCTGGCAGGAAGTCAAACCTAGACATAAGAGGCAGGCCGAAATTTAACAAAATAAAGCATTTCAAAATACAATTCCGCAATAGTCAAATGTGTTCGTAAACAGACACTGCATCAAAACCACACGAACATTCATCATAAATTTTCTATATTCATCTATAGTCAAATGGCCCATTTACACCATTACATACAAAAAAGTTCCACATACCTTTTCCATTTATCCACCACACACAGTGATCAACATTCTCTATCACACATACTTACAACAAACCCCATTTTCTTTTGTACACTTACACCCTCACACCACTCACTGGCAGGGGCGCAGATAGGATTTTCAAACTGGGGGGGGGGACAAGGTTCCAATGTACCCTCCCACAAACACACACACGTGCACGCACACGCATGTACACATACACAATTGCAAGAGCCTTAACTAGAGCTTAGTCAGTTTGTGTAATTTCATCCAATGGTTTACGTAAACAGTAACACTATCATATCCGTGTTTGAAGCCATTATGCAATGGAATGCTGGCAGCAAAGCTCTGCCTGATCAATACTATCCAAGTCAGTCAAGCCTCTCGGTGGGAGGTGGGGGGACAATGGATACTCCCCAAAGGCAAATCAGCCGTGAGATGAACAATCCCTTATTTTTGCACAAAAACTTCTCCCTGACAGGTAAAACTTAATCCACTGGAGTGCCAAGGCAGATATTCTTCGAAGCCCCGCCCATTCACTCTGGTGACAAATGCGCTTTACCACCTCCAGACCGGTAGGTGGCGGTAATGATCACAAACCGCCCACAGAAGAAACCCTAAAAGCTAGCAGACTATTGTAGCAGCAGCAGCAGCGCTGTAAACCATCACCAGGCTGTGGAAACTTCGTTCTCCTCAACAACTTGGTGGAGTTCTTTCCAGAACCAGAGAAGATATTCTGCGGTCTTCGTGACAATCGGAGCTCCAGAATCAGGTTGTGGATAAGAAAAGTTTTTCTCGACTTCCTCCTGCCCTCTGTATCTGCTGCTGTTCCTTTGGCCTCTGAGAAACGCGCTCGTTTTGCTGCTTTCTTCAAATTCAAGAGTCTACCTCTATCAGACTCGGTCATCTGAGTTAGTCATGATGCAGGATCGCTGCTCGCTCTGATCCATCCTGCTCACACTCTCCGACGGAAAAGCCTCGGAACGTCATCAGCTGCTTTGTTTCTATTGCAGCTGTTAGCTAAACACGGCTAAAGCAGACCTGCTACCACTTAAGGATCTGGGACTGAGTCATCATCTGGATCTGGACAACATGGATACAGGTACACAACTACTTGTGTGTGGTGTACTTAAGGTTATTATCAGAGCTGTAGAAAGAGGGTTGCGACACTCCAATAGACTTCTATGGAAAGAATGGAATGCGGAAGTCACGTGGTTCAAGTAGCTTCCAATAGTTCCAAACAGCCCCCGCAGCTGCATTGACTGCAGTTCGTTTTCGGTGTTTCGGAAGGAATTTTTTCCGGTAAGTTGATGAAATGTCATCATTTTTTTCCATTGTGAAGCGTTAGCTAACCGCTTCGTACCACAATAAACCAACGATGATATTTTATGTTTCCAGTTTTAACTAGATAACCTTTAATGAGCTAATTGTGTGCAGCTTGTTGATTGTGAGCATGAGGGTTCAGACGAGCTGCAGACGGGTCTCTTTCAGTTTGTTTGATTCTACGTTTTAAAAATATTCCCCACAGTTTGAAATAGGTTATAAACTTTTTACATTATTAGTTTTATTTGGGATTTTTGTACAATACGTTGCTGGTTGCTGTATCAACACGACCATGCATCAGAAATGGAAGCACAAATGGAGAGACCAATAATAAAGAAAAATGTGATTGTGAAGACAAGTAATTAATACTTTTTCAGTTAATAACACTGACTGCATCAAACTGCTGAAGCATGAGACAAACAGGATTACGAACGTAAGAAGATATGTTGTTCTGTTTTGTGGACTCAAGTAATAAGAATAGAATTAAGATAATTCAAGAACAGCAGTCGAACAATAACTTTTAAAATGAGACATTTTCCATAAAAATGCTCATTTCCACTTGCTGTATAATATTAGCATTTGCTATTTTGTTATTAAGGAATGACAATAAGAATTTATAACACAACTATGAATAAATAAATGTCAGAGTTACTAAAACAGATCTTATGTAACCATTAAAGGTTAAACTGTGTTGTGTGTCCATCTTCATGTTTTCATAGTGGCTGAGCGGAGAGCTGACCAGGAACATTGGTGGTGGCAAAACCCAGTTGGGTCTGTGATGGAATGATGCACGCCTGGAGTGATTGCCATCTCATCCACAGTGAGCACACTCTCTCCATGTCTGTCAGATTTTTAACCTTCAAACTGAGCATGTCACACACCTCTCCTAACACACCTGGTTCCAGCTTAATGGGCTGCATTTGTCTTTGCAGGGTTCTAACATCAGGCAGAGGGATACTCGTGTCCTGAAGAAACCTGCAGCCTGTTGAACCCACTGAAAAACAGCTGTACGGCCTTTTTGATTGTCTGTTTACTCCATTTAATGCCTCTTGTGTTTTTCATGCCTTTTTGACTTTCTATTTCCTCCCTTAGGTTTTCCAGCTGGGTTCCCTGCTTGCATGGCCTGTTCCTTTCTCCTCCTGGCCCTCATGGCTTCCTGGGATGTCCCTATCTCCTGATACCATCTCATGTCCCCCCTCACTTTCCCTCATCTCATTTGCCTCACTGCTGCTGCTGCTTTCCTCATTCTCTGAAATTATAATGGCACTCTTAGAATAAAGAATCATTTTAAAATAAAATGAATACAAATGTCTAATATTTCAAAAGGTTTGTACCACAGTTTACTTGAGTACAACATGTGTGGTCACTGGTCAGTGGATCAACATGCAGTGGTTCTGCTGTACTACTCACTGCGGGGTCCTTCCTCCTCCTTGGTTCAGGGCGATGAACAAAAAGCGTTGGACCAGCATCAGCCCTGAGTCTCGCCTTGCCTTGCCTAAGCTTAGTAAACTGTCCCTCCTCAAAATGTGCCTGTAGAGTGGTGTATTAGTTATTGCCTGCCACATTTAACAGTTTAATTGCAGCCTTGTGCAGCTGAGAGCAAAACATGTAGAGCCTTGATAGAAAACATTTTAGAGTGCACATTAAACTCACTGCACACAGCTTTTTGTTATTGTGATCTCTGGTCATGGTGAGGCTGCTCCTGCTGACTTGAGCCAACCATTTTCTTTCTGCGTCTTTGGTTAAGCCATAATTCTGATTCCTCCCTCAGACCGACTGCTGTATGCAGCGCAGCCAACCACGGTAAGATAGCCAACCTATAAAGGTATTATTAAAATACAGTTTTTGTACATATAGAAATATTGAACAAAACCAAAAATATAGAGATGTAAAATTACATATTAAAATTTTATCCAACCCTAAAATTAGTCATTTCAAATTTTAACCCACGGACACATTTTATTTTAATAATAATCAAAATAAAGTTATTCAAAAGAGTTTCATTAGGTCTTGAGTTCATTGCACATAATTAATGATTCAGCTTATTTGTGCATATGTAATGACGAAACATAATGTTGGTAAAATGCTTTATTAAAATGCTATTATACATGTTGTACAAGTTTGGTATTAATTATTCACAATTAACACTTATCTACTGTGTTTGACCATACAGTTTCATTGAAATTTTCTTTTTAATTAGTTGCTTTTAGTCAGGCTCTAGAAGCCAGATAAACTGGGTTATAGATGCATGTACTGTCTTCACATTAAAATATAAAGGAATGACTGTAAAATGTATTCTACTGAACATAACAGATCATCATTCAAAGCATAAACAGCTACATATTTTCTTCAAGGTAAGCTGGAGCAGAATTCTAGCTTTCAATAAACACTTTAAAATGGATATTACAACTCGAGTTTAGGGCTTCTTGTAGGACTTAGTTATTAAATATGCTTATATTAGAGCAGTGTGTTGCATTACTACATCAAATGTATTGCTATAATATATTATAGTAATGTATGTGGTCTAAATGTGTTCTACAGTGTGTTAGGACTGTCGTGTTCCTGTAATGTAGAACAGTCACGGGTGTTTGTCTTCCTACAAATGCTCGGAAAAATATAAATAGGCTACTTTGTGAAGGAGTTAAGACATAATATATAATATTCAATAATTACCAAAAATTGCCAGGGGAAATGTGACAATATTCAATTTTTGTGATTTTTTTTCCCACCATACGCCGTTCAAACTGACTTATGGCGCTGGGATGTTTGGAACTATCGAGAGCTCCATGAACCACGTGGCCGCGAGTCGGCGAGTTCAAAACGTGTCGCAACTCTCTCTTTCTACAGCTCTGGGGCCTCATTTATCAAGCTTGCTTACGCACCTGTACACACTGCACAAACAACATGCCTGACAATTACATTCACGCACTGTGGTCCTGTCCACTTGTCTAGGAATTTTGGGGTAGAGTATGAGAAGACCTGTCAAAGTGTCTGAAATGTCATATCCCAACTTCTTCCTGTCTTTGTTTGCTGGGAAACCTGGACGATGTCCCAATTGAAACATCTTTGGTTCACGTGGTTCTGACTGCCATTTGCATCGCTCAGAAAACTATCCTCATGAATTGGAAAAAGAGATACTCTTTGCATTA